AAACTATTTACTAACAATGGCGCGCAGGATAAAAGCAATTTTTTATTTTGATTCGAGGAGGAGTACTCACGTTAACTCGTCCTTTACATTTACATTATTCCTGCTTGAAGGTTTAAAGCGTTGTCGTCTGCGTAAAGCGGCTGTTTTTGTGGAACGTGCTCTAAATAAAAGTGAGTGGCCTGGTATATGGAAATGGCTCCTATCACTTATCATTTTTCTTCGGCCTTTCGCTGTGTTCTATATTTGAGGGCTGTATCGCTATCTTCGATTCAGTGAACGGTCTCAAGCAGTCTAGTATTCACTATATACAAAACAACGCCGCCTTTAAGCGGGAGCAATCCGTTCGGGCCTGTCGTGTGGTTCGAATATTTCGCATTCGACGTTGCACATATTAATCGCCGATACAATTGTTTCGAGGCTGTTGTTGAAGCAGATTCACTGTTATCTAATTGGCCAAGATTGCGGGTTACCGGATTTGCCTTTACGGCCAAGCCAAGCTCCTTACTCGGTTGATCGCCCAGATTCACTTAACATGTTTGTGTAATATGAACATTTTCCTAGAGCTAAGCCTTGCTGACGTAGCTTGCCCCTGATTGTACTGTTATTTGTTTTACACAGTCCGCTATTTGCTTTTGCCGCATTAGCAGTCGATTAGATCTGGGCATTCGTCACTATTGTTTATCATGCGTATATTGTGACAATAATGTAGCATGATTATCCCTGTCAATTCGTTGTTCTTGTTGCATCCAGGGGTTATTTAAGTTTGAAATTTGACGTAAAATAAATATACTATAGGATAGAGATATTTATGACATTAAAAAGTCAATCGCTAAACATCTAATAGTGGTCTAACTAAGGTTCCACAAATAAAATAGCTCAAAAATTAAATGTTAAAAAGAACGAAAACTCTTCTACGTCACGCGTCGAATTCACACACGCACACATACAACATGAACTATATCAACGAAACTTCAACTACTATGGAACTTCACCAGTGATATGGAAGCTACCATATCGTACTCATTTACTAATTATAATAGTAATAAATAGTGCGTATTATCCTGTCACCTTCGACCAGTGTCAGCAAATAATCACCTCAGTCATTATGGCATCCATTATTATCAATATAATTAGTATTATTATTATTTTGCGTTACAAGTGCTCAGCATTAGCGATAATTCATCATTTTCGTACTAATGGATATAATAACAATATTACTAAAATGTAGTAAAAACTGGTAGTAGCTAGGATTTTTCTCCTTTTGTATTGTTCTCATACCATATAAAAGCATAGTCGGTCATCAATCTAATCATCATTACGATTATAGGTATGTAGCCAATATATAGAGATTAGCAGCATATATGTAGTTCACCACACTCCAATCCAGCTATACCAGAATCGCTTTTTTCTCTCCTAATCCTTTCGGCCACTGTCCTAGAGTTTAGAGCCTACACACATATCTTTTGAAAGAGAAATACACGACATATATGTACAGGGTGTCCCGAAAATGAATCATTGTAACTACAGTTTTTACTTATATATAATTAATATGAAAATTCCAAGACAGTTCATATGAATTGTATAACCTTTTCCTACCGTTGCTCTATTGAAAATGCTTTACCGATTGACAAATTTTGACAAACATCCAATGCATGGTACTATGGGACATTTTTTCTCAGTTACGGTTTTTAAATCTTCCAGTGTGGTCAGATCTCTGGCATAGCCTATGTCTTTGAGGTGTGTTCACAAGGAGAGCATTAGATCTGAAGGACGGGCAACATGTCCTATGAAACCTATCAGTTCAAGCCCTCTAAATTTGGAAGATTCTCATGACTACAATACCCTTCGCTGTGGTGGAAACAAAATTAGCCATTGTAACCAAAGTCCTTTCGAAGGCGCAACAAAACAAACTTTTGCAATGGATTACCACCAGTACATGCATCTTTTCGGGACATACTCTAATATATACGTGAATATATATACGAATTGTTATTATGCAAATATTTGTCTCATCCGTTCGGTGTGGGAGTATCGTGTTAGAATGATAACGTGGCGATCACAAACAAGAGTAACTTTTCTTAGAAATCATCTCATGGTTTCTGGTCGGCTATCCGCGTTCATCCACGGTTACTCAGCTCAGTCAGCGCTCTTTCTATATCTATCATTATACGTATTCAAATATATCCGCTCTCTTATATGTAACTGTCAATCAATCTCCAGCAAACGAGAGGTTTACTAATCGTCCCCTCAAAATATCCACTACATCAAACGAAGTCTTACTCTATATGCTCAGTTACTAGATCAGTAAAAAATTGCACTACGAACTCGTTAGGGAGGAGTGGAAATACAAGGAGCACTTCGACGAAAACAACTAGAACATTGTAAGGTATGGAAACAGTATTTGAAATACCGTCGTTGATAATCTAGTATCTTCTATAATACGCGAAGCCATATTATTCAAACAATATAGTTATTTGCCCCCTCCTCCGCCCCTCGCTCCGTGTCATCATATGAATCACCGGTAAGCACTCCGACACCTACCTGTGTACCTATATCGACGTACTTAATCAATGTATCATATATACTATCAGATTGTTGGCGTTAGTATTGAATTGGATTCAATGAGTTGTCGTTTGCGTATAGCACTGTATTCGTCATCAGTTGTCTACCGGTTCCTTATATTTGTAGCAGTCGTACAACAAGTGGCAGCTGTTATGTACAATGAGAGCTTCTTTGTGGTAGTTGTCGTAGGAGTATATACATTTTTAATGTCGACCCGCGTTGGCAAGGCTAATGTTGCCACCTAGGCTGCGAGATAGGATTCCGAAGCGGGGCATTCCGGGAGGAAGAGCCGCGGGTTTGGAGGACCAGGATTAGCCCGATTTTATGTATCCGGATTATATGCGGGTATCGGTCTGTAGCCGTTCGGTAGCAGTTCATTCACATGATGATGATTCTTATAGGTGTGACTGCCGCTGCTGTCATCATTATTATCGTGGTTACTGTCCTATTCGTGGTTATAGTTGTCACAGTTACAATCATTAGACTCTTATTACTATTATCATGATAATTCTGCATCAATTTTCTTCTTCTTATTATTATGCTTTTTGTATTGGGTTATCATCGATGACTTTCATTATGAGTTGATTAGTAACGTTAGTTGATTTAACGATGAATGCATGGATGAATGGAGCTTAAGCTAAGGAAAGGCGGGGAAGCGCAGACGGACGAGCGGGCCTCGACACATTTTTTTTTTCTACTTAAATAAACCGTTTTGTCTTTCTCAGAGCCAAAATTTCGCCAGAGAGACTTACAGGATCGTATGGTTATCATATCGTTCAGGATAAGCGTCGTTGTAATGATTTATGAAGCACGCTCGCTCGACGGCACTAGATCCGCGTCTGATGTCGGATTTGAACTAGAGAACGGTGCCCTTGCGCTGTTCAGATCTGCCTGCCTCTTGTTTTACAGCACGTCTTCTTTGCATCGGTATTCATTAATGGACCTATCAAAGTTTAACGGACAGTCTTGTAACTAGCTTTCAACAGGCTTTCTTTGCCCAAGGTGTATTGGCGTCTGAAATTACGTTACAAACTCAATGCACGGAAAACCTGGTCAGCACTTGTTACTATGACTTGTACGATCTCTATTCGAATTGATGTGGGCGCGTCAAGTAGAGTCGACTGTGAAATTCTATTGGTTTTTATTAGTATTGTTCGTCTAACTGTTTCATGTTTCTAACTGAGCCGCTATTTCGTTTTGTTAAAACGCCCTATTTAGACATGACCTTTTTCCTTTCGCTAAATAAAGCGCGTAAAAAAGCACTTAATCTCTAATATCCCAATCAGTTATTTTATTCACTGAACAATGTATCTAATTGCCTTATTTACTTCAATGTCTGTCCGTTGAATATCAAACTTTATATATAGGAAGAGAGAGAGAGCGACCGATTCTAATAGTGACCTTAATCGTATACATCAATCGTGTGTGTAGTTAGCTAACCCGAGTGAGGGCCCCAATGCGTGAATCAGCGGAGTTCAATTGGCCAAATGCGAAACATAAAAACTCACTACGAACGGTCTCCTGCCGTACCTTCTGGCTGCTTTTGCTATTTGAATATTTACCTCGATCAGCGGTATCGCAGGAAACTGATGGATTTCGTAGCATAGAAAAAGTAGAGAAATGTTCATGAACGGCCCAAATAATGGCTATATTGCAAACAGTATGCCTCATCTTTGCCTGGCTTATAGACACTTGACGGTCTGCTATATGCGCGTGAAATCCCATTTCAGCATTCAGTCTTCTATTGCTGAGCGCTTGAGTAGCTCGTCTGTTTGTTATTTCCGTCGCTGCGCAAGAAAGGACGTGTGTGTATTAGGTAGAATGCAGATAAAAGAGACATACATATCCGTTGCTCACCCGTATTGAGCCAACGATTTCATGCTCACGTCGAATGTTTTTTTTACATCTAAGTACCTATAACAACAACTTGGGTGGAGCTTCCATTGTTGTTATTGTTGTATTTTTGGCTATTTTTGCTCTGCTTTGCCTGTTGTCATCGATAGCCACTGGCAAGCCCAATGAGGTTCGGATGATCGAGTTCGGAGTTTCGCCCAGCAGAGTGCACCTCGATTTCAGCGGGCTGCAAAAGTATCGTTGATTCAGGTACCGTGCGTTTATTCCTAATCATGTTGATTAGCATTAGCCTATTATTTGTAACCTACCTAGTGTTAACTATATATAGTTGTTTATTAAGGTGCATGTTTTTTCTCTGTCTATGTAAAGGAAAATGATCTGCTATTCTGTTTAACTGTTGTAGTGGGGCAAGTGGGAGAAATTGCTTACGCCTCATGGGAACTATGATGGGTCCCTTTGAAGAGGCTAATCATTTCAATAGCTCAGGGCTCTTAAATTTGATAGCAAACGTCTACGAGTATAACATGAATTTACATGATCTTGCGTAAACGATCCGAATGAACATGTGCATCCCAGAAGACTTGGAAAGTCCTCTGGATTGCAACGTCATCTAGCCCCTCCTTGACTCTGGATAGAAGATGCCCTTGGCGTCGTTTACAGTCACAGCCCCGAACGTTACCCTTGAATCCCATAAAACATATTACATAAAAAAAAAAAATACATTTTTCAATACAAGCATTGCTGGAATTTCAAGCCATATGGATCAAGGAGGGTAACTAATGTCACAGTATATTGCGTAAGCGGACTTCAGACGAAAATCTGTATTCATAATGCATCCAACGATAGCATATGACCTGCTTATCCGTTTCAATATTACAACAGCATGTTAGCATTTTTATAATGTAATCATAATCGCCACACATTACTACACACACATGCCATACAAAATAGTTAATTATCTAGCATAATGAATTTATCGTATATAGCATCACTTCTCCCCTATAGTTGGCATCACCACACCGACCGCGGCGACCCCACGACTTTGAAAGTTGCTTGGTCGCGACGCGGCAATGGGGCGGGGCATAGGCATCCGTTGGAGTGAAACATCGTCTTTCCCACCACTGTCGCCACCTGCCGGGCTTC